AGGACAGTGACCAGAGAAATGCTCAGAGCACAGCAGGGAGACAGATGAAAACAGGTGGGTCCAGGCCTGGGCTGCCTGGAGGAGGGTGCAGCAGCCAGCTCCTTGTCTGGACCTCCATACGTTGAATATTTCTGAGCCAAATGTCTGCCAACCCCGGTCTGCATAAGAAAGTTTGCATATCTGCACAGGAACACAGCGTTTGTTCATGGTTTCTGCGTTGATATATACAAATATAGTTTCCTGAGTCAATAGTCCTGCCTGGGGAAAAGTGGAGGAAGTATGATTAGGTAATGAAGTACCGAGGCCAAAATAGAGAGCTTGTCTCCATCGGGCCATGGAACTGACAAAGGACTGTACCCTACCTTGGTTTCTCTCCCTCAGTCTCTCTTAATCTATATTATATTGCCCTGCTTTTTTAAATACAAAAATAATAATAATAATAATAGGCTACATTCCCTTAAGCCCCAGAGTTTAAAGGCTCCCTCCACAGGGAGAGTTGCTCTGTGTATGCTGTCGCTGGAGATGCTAAAACTTCAGTTAGCTGCACTGTAGGAAGAGGTTGCTGACTCAACTCTTCCTGGTCTCCTTGCTGAAGCCCAGCTCACCTCTAAGCTTCCAAATTCATTTTTCTGTTCTTCTTGGTGGTCACCAGCATACTGTCCTTTCATGGGGCACTTACTGAGGCCAGGTGTTGTACTGGCAGCTCAGGAGGTAAAGGCTCAGTACTTTCCCTTGAAGAGCTACAGACACGAGGAAAGAGAGAGACACCCTTCCTTTTTTTCCCGTTCTAAGACACCCTAAGTGCCCAACTGGGACATTGCAAAGTGCTCTGGACATGCAGATAAAGAGACACGGGAGCCAGGGAAAGATTTCAGAGAAGGTAAACCTAGAAAGTGCACAGGAATTCAATAGATATCAATCTGGGCAAAATATGGTTTGTTTGAGGAACAGAAAATGAGTCTGGTGACTGGAGCAGGATGGGGGATGCTGAATAGACGATGGGAGGGCCAGCTACAGGTGGACTCAAATGGCCTGAAAGTCATGTAAAAGCACTAGCACTGCATCATGTAGACGGTGTGTGTGTGTGTGTGTGTGTGTGTGTGTGTGTGTGTGTGTTAGTCACTCAGTCGTGTCCGACCCTTTGGGACTTCATGGTCTGCAACCCACCAGATTCCTCTGTCCATGGAATTCTCCAGGCAAGCATACTGGAGTGGGCAGCCATTCCCTTCTCCAGGGGATCTTGCCAACCCAGGGATCGAACTTGGGTCTCCTGCAGGCGGACTCTTTACCATTTGATCTATCAGGGAAGCCCCTTGTAGATGGTAGGAACAGCCAAATGGGAGGCTCCAGGTCAAAGCTATGACTGGAGCAGAAAAGGAATCACAGGACAGCAAGACTGGAAGCAGAAATAAGAATGAGGATATTCTTGCAACAGTCCAAAGGGACAGGGATGAATCAGATGCTGTGAATTGGGCAATCAGGTGGTTACTGATAGGAGTAACTATGGCGAAAAATCCAGTGAGAATCCAAGAGAAGGGCTCCTATTTTGCTTTGGACTTGCACTTCAGGTGTGTGTGGGATACTCGTGTGGCAATGTTCAGCAGCAAGTAGATAAACTCAGAGGTGGCGTCCATGTGGGAGCTGTCAACTTGTAAGTGACAGCTGAAGCCACAGGAACAGAGTAAAATTGCTCATGGGAAGTGTGGTGGGTGGGACACAAACATCAAAGCAGAAAAGCCTGGCTTGTGAGGGACAGAGGGGCTGGGAAGGAGCAGCCAGTATTAAAAGATCCAAACTGGAGTCATGTCATGGAAGCCAACAAAAGAGGGGAATTTAGGGACAAGAATGTCAAAATGAAATTCTGCAAAGATCAGGTAAGGTGCAGACTCAAACCTCGTGGCAATGAGCATGCCATCTGTGACTTTATAGACAGCAACTTCAGCAGTGTGGGATATCAAAACACCCTCAACTGGGAAGCAAAGAGAAAAAGTGGTGGATTTTTGAAAGAGAAGGCTCAAAAGAGGGGCTGGCAAAGTCATGGGATGCGTTTTTCCAAGGTGGAGTTTCACTAAGTTTGTAGGTTGTGATGCCAGAGCCTGTAGAGGTAGAGTTATGAGTTTGTCATAAGGTGACTTTGACAATGGCAAACTGGCAGACTAGAGAATTGTGATGTCGTTGATCATGGTATGAACATTCCCGAAAGGAGTCACCTTCCACAGGCTCAGACAGGCTTCCTAAAGCGGCAGTGGTGGTAAAGAATCCGCCTGCCAATGCAGAAGAGGCAAGACAAGGGGTTTGGATCCCTGGGTCAGGAAAATACCCTTGAGTAGGAAATGGCAACCCACTCCAGTACTCTTGCCTGGGAAATCCCATGGACAGAGAAGCCTGGCGGGTTACAGTCCATGGGGTCGCAAAGAGTCGGACATGACTGAGCGACCAAGCACAGGCTCAGATACTTTGACATTCCCCAGTTCTGAGCTGCAGGCTAGTGTAGGCAAGGCCAAAGGGAGGGAGAGGCTCCGGGCCCCATGGAGAAGCTGCCTGTTGAGGCTCAAACACTGACATCCTGAGTCAAGCAGTGTCGGGAATGCAGTGCTGGACACAGGCCCGAGTTCTGAAGCTGCATGGCAAGCTGGCAACTCTGTGCTGTGGGCCTCTGACCCCGCTCATCTCACATTTTTTCTCAACATTTTGGACATTTATGGTGCGCAATCTCGCACCACGTGTCCTGTTGGTGCACAGTTATAATTCAGACTGATGAGGCTATTGGCTGTCTTTAAATAGCCAATTGCACTGCTCTGACATGGCTAAGGTTAACTAAATAACTAAATTAACTAACCCAGCCACAGAATCAAGCTCTGGCCTGAGTATGCCAGGCCAGAAAAATCAGCACAACCCTCATGAAAACGAGACTGTGAATTTAACAAGAGTCAAGCGACTCCCACCATGTACCGGGAACACTGGTTCTGATAACTGGCTCTGCCAGCAAGGGCCTCTGCTCCTTTCTCCTTCTTTTAATTGAAGTATAGTTGATTTACAATGTTGTGTTAGTTTTAAGTAAACAGCAAAGTAAGATTTATATATATATATATATGTATATAATATTGATATATATTATTACATTGAAGTGAAGTGAGAGTCACTCAGTCGTATCCGACTCTTTGTGATTCTCCAGGCCAGAATACTGGAGTGGGTAGCCTTTCCCTTCTCCAAGGGATCTTCCCAACCCAGGGATGGAATCCAGGTCTCCTGCATGGACGGCAGATTCTTTACCAGCTGAGCCACAGGGAAGCCCAAGAAAACTGCAGTGGGTAGCCTATCCCTTCTCCAGCAGATCTTCCTTACCCAGGAATCAAACCAGGATCTCCTATACTGCAGGCGGATTCTTTACCAACTGAGCTATCAGGGAAGCCCAATTATTATTATTAGGTCGGTGCAACCTAATTGCAGTTTTGGACAGTGAATTTTAAATTATTATATTAATGTATGTATATTTATATATATTCTTTTTCAGATTCTTTTCCATTAAGGTTACTGCAAAATAGTGAATATAGTTCCCTATACTATACAGCAGGTCCTTGATATTAATCTATTATATATATGTATTAGTGTGTATCTGTTAATCCCCAACTCATAATTTATCCCTTCCACCCCTTCCCCTTTGGTAACCATAAATTTGTTTTCTATTTCTGTGAGTCTATTTATGTTTTGTAAATAAATTCATTTGTACTGTTTTTTGGATTACACATATAATCTATATCATGATATTTGCCTTTGTCTGGCTTACTTCACTTAGGTCCATCCATGTTACTACAAATGGCATGATTTCATTCTTTTTATGGCTGAGTAGTATTCCATTGTATATGTATGCTACATCTTCTTTGTCCATTCATCTGTCAGTCGATACTTAGTTTGCTTCCATGTCTTGGCTGTTACAAATAGCGCTGCTTTGAGAATTGAGGTACATGTAATTTTTTTAATTAGAGTTTTCATCTTTCCCAGATATATGCCCAGGAATGGGATTACTAGATCATATGGTCACTCTAGTTTTAGTTTTTTAAGGAGCCCAATACTGTTCTCCATGGTGACCATACCTCTACTTCATTCTATGAAAAGATGGGAGGGTTATAAAATAAAATTACTCTGTTTCCTACAAAGATAAAGAAATCATGGACTCTCCTAAAAGAGCACAGACTCCTGAACATATTCTAATCCAATTCCCACCTCCATTTGACTGATATGGAAATAAGACTCAGAGTTAACAATTTCCAAAACTTGCTCAATGAGTGAGTGACACAGAATCCATTGAACAATGCAAAGACGGCTACCATGACATGACAAGGCTTCTATGACATTCAGTCACCCCTTCTGGACAACAAACCATACCCTGGTGGGCTCAGATTTAACTGAACACAGAGCCCTCCTAACTTCTGGGCTGGAGGGTGGGCCCACATAATGTCCAGGGAAGGAGACCTGGACAGTGGCGGGGAGGCTGAGGAGGAGGTGGGTGGGCACAGCAGTAAATGCCCCATCATCAAGGTGCCCTGCACATCCCCATCATCCTCCAAGTCCCCTCATTCATCAGGACTCTGTGCTTGCGAGTGAGAGGGGCCTCCCTTTAGCCAGCTGAATCAAAAGGTTGTGGACATGGCATTAGGGCCCCAAGCTCCTGAGCAAACAAGGAAAAGGTACCTGGTGGCCTACACACTGCCTGCTGGAGCAGGGGTCAGTGAAGTAAAGCCATAGAGATAAGCTCCAGAACAGCCTGTGGACCTATTCCAGGGCTGAGCGTGCGGATCTAGCTGGGCTGGTGTTGGACTCCAGCAGAGGGACCCCAGCCTTGGGCTTTTATGATTAGAGAAACACCAACACCTCTCCTGGCTTGGCAGAACTCTGGTTATCTGCCCTACTCTTCCAGCTTAGCATTCAGAGTTGGGGAGCAGCCCAGGGTTGGGGTTCCAGCCTATGACATGGCAGTGATCTGCTAAGATTGAGCATCTTCAGCATTCAAATGGAGCCAGCTTCCTTGGAGCTCTGCAGGAGACCAGCGTCTCTGAAGCCAGCCTACAGAGAATAGTTAAACTAAGAATCAGCTGAATACATTGGATCTCACTTCCCCAGTTCCTTTTACCTGTCAAAGGCAGCTTTTCTAATCTTAAACTTAACCACAGCACCCTCTGCCAAGGCCACTTAGCGTCTTCCCTTGCCAGCATGATAGAGTCAAACTGCTCAGCCTGAGATGTGAGGCTTCCTACACCAGATCTCACCTTTCTGTCCAGGCTTACCCTCAGCGCCCCATCTCCAAATGCACTGGATCTGCTACTTCCCACCATGGCTCCCAATGACGTGAGCCTTTTCCCATCCTGCTGGCCCTGTAAACTTGCAGACACATTACCCCAAATGCCCTCATGGAGAATATCTGGCTCCTCCTCCTGAACTCTATGATTACTTTCACCATTAGTTGTTTTCATACCTGCCCAACCTGGAGGGTGCTCAGTCATGCCATCTGCAGAGAAGGTGTCAGTGAATCAGGATAAAGGTCAGCAGCTGCATACACCCCAGAGCTCAGGCTCCAGGCCCTTCTGCCCTGCCCATAGCCATAGATTCCAGATCTCACAGATACTGAAACACCCTCTATCTTATATAAATCAAGTGACCTTTAACTGTTTCAAATCTACATACTGGATGAAAGGTGACACTTGCCATCTCCTCTGAATAGTTAAATATTCTGATGAGAACCTCAGTATTCCTGCCACCTCAATATGACTGAGGCCCCACTGCCAATTGGCAGCACACCCTGACAGTGCCCTGGGGCTCAGGAAAAAGGTTGATGCTCACACCTGCCCAGATACTGCACAAGTCTCCCACTTGCTTCAGACATGTGGGCCTTTAAAAGTAAAGGTATGAAAAGGAGGTCTCTCTTTAAGAAATCCTTTGTAGATCCACCCCCACACCTTAAAGTCAGGGGCTGCAAGTGACATTTACAAGGTGGCAACAGGTTGCTGGCCATCACAAAGCATGCTACCTGTAAAGGAGATATGACTATCGCAGTGAGTTGAAGTTCTTTGTTCTGAATACATGCCCTATTTTCAGTGTGGTTTCCTTGGCAGTTGATTGAGCGACTAATTGAAAGCCCATTAATAGCTTCATGAATGAAAGGAAATGTACTTTAAGAGAGCTCCATACTGGTACACAATTGCACCGACAAACTGTTTTCAAAATCTGACAAGAATCAGTTTCAAATAAAGGGTGACATTCAAACAACTAGAAACCTCAAGGGCCATGATTACACAGCCCCATTCATAAGCACCCTCCTGTTTGAGGGTTCGTTGGCAAGTTCACCCTGCAGAAGCCTTCTCAGCTGCCCGAAGGAGGAAGTTCCTGGCTGTTCTCAGCTAAGGAGGCTTCTGAATATGCTCTGCAAATCCTTTCCCAGTGCATTCTCAGGACCCAGAAGCCCCAGTCTTAATCTATGTCCATATATTTGTAGCCATTGTGAGGTGTATCAGAACCTTAAAGAGACACTCTGGGTAAGTCTTATCACCCGTGCAGGCCAGGCCAAGACCTTGTCACTGAAGAATGTCTATCCAAGTTAGCATGACCCACTTTAAGGCAGAAATGACAGCTGTGCTCACTCCTCCACCGCCAGACCATCTCTCAACAGGGTGTAGGAAGCAAAAATTTCTTCTTTGAAGAACTTGCAGGTCTTTTCAGGATTTTCTCAAGCATCACTGTATCCCTACAAAGCACTTAGTCACAGCAACAACTCCCATCTTCTAGTCAAGAAGTTTGACCTTGAAGCAGTCCTTGATTCTCTATAGAAGAAAGAGCACAGAAAAGAGATGAAGGGCAACTTACCTGGTATCATCTCTGGGAAAATAGCATCTCCACCCTATCCAGCAGAGACTCCTGCTGAGCACCACCCCACCCCGTATCCCAGGACCCCACCTTGTTTGCTGACCTTGCTGTCCCATCGCCAGATTCAGCTCTGGGAACCTAGAATTCTTTTGGCCCACATCCAGCTCCAGATCAGCCCACATCCCATCTAGTCACATCTCAGCCCCACCCCTCAGCATGACTTGGTCAGGCCTTGGCCAAAGCTCTCTCTAGGGCTCCAGACGCAAGCATCTGACTATCCATCTGCACACCCAAGAGGGCCTCAAACACAGAATGCACACAGATAAACCAAAAAAATCAAAATCCCTCTCCATCACACTAAACGGACCAGACATATGTATCCACTTTCCCAAGTCTGGAACCTGGGACTCTTCCTTCTCTCTTCCACATCCAAGTCATCTTATCTGACACCCAAAAATCTTTCCAATTCATTCTCTCCTCTTCAAGACTACTTCTGCTTTGGGGGACTACCTCTATCCCCTGATATGATAATCCTGTATATCCATGTGATTCTAGTAGGGTTGACCCCACCATTCTGATCTAGCAGTGGTCAAGGGACACAGGCCTGGGTACAGAAAGTATTCCAGCTACTTGGTCACAATCATTGGTTAAGGACTGAGCTATCAGAATCCTCCCCAGAGGACTTCCCTGGTGACTCAGTGGTTAAGATTCTGCACTTCCAGTGCAGTGGGCCTGCTTTCAATCCCTGATCAGAGAACTATATGACATGTGGTATAGCCAATGCAGTGCAAATCTTAAAAAAAAAAAAAAAAAATGAAGTGCAGAATCTTAAAAACAAAGAAACAAATCCTCTCCAGAGTTCTTACAGGACACAGAGAGAAAGACATGCTCCTTCCCTGGCAGGCCAGTTGTTAGGACTCAGTGCTTTCATTCAAGGTGGCAGATACAAAGAAAGAGAAAAATGATGGAGAAAGACGTGAACCTCAGAATTCCTGCTGCTCAGAGCTAATCTGCCTACTGCAAAGGAGTATGTGCAGGCTGCCAGGGTCCCTTCTCTGCAGCTGGACGTGCTAATGATATAGAGTAATCCCACTGTCTGCTACCATAGAACTCTTTACTGTGTACAAAGCCCATCCACAAATATTGTCTCCCAAAAATGTTAGGAGTTGACCAAGGTCCAGAACTCTGACTCCACATGCTTTTCACTCATGTCTTCACAGTCTCACTGGTGGAGGTAAAACCCTTGGGTTTCCGGGCTGGGCACACGTTGCTGAGTCACCAGCCTGAACTCTGCCTGCAACAATCAGACCATCTCCATCTCTGGCATCTGCTTAGGCTGCAAGACATACTGTACATGACCTGCAGAATACAGACTCAGAATTCTTCCAGGAACAATAGCTGAACCAACTGAATGCCAGGCTTCACAAGGCAATTGGATACATCTGAACACCAGGCTTCACAAGGCAACTGGATACAGAAACAGACCCTTGCTACCCTATCTAGGCCCCACAAAGCCAGTAATGACAGAAGACCACCCCCCGGTTTCAATGTGCCCACTTAGCTAGGTGAAAGAGCCTGGCAATGAACATAGCAAGAAGAAGCCCTAGACCTGGCTAGATTGGGTTGGACCTGCCACTGAGCCTCAGAGACCCTTTGGAGACTTCTGTGTGCACTGTGGATAGAGGCAGATGCTCAGACTCTTCCACGGGGACACTCTGCTGGCAAGTCAGCACCAGGGCCTTGATCTCCTTCTTGAAGTTGGTGTTGAGAAAGCCATAGATGAAAGGATTGACACAGGTGGAGGCCATGGCAAGCAGGTGGCACACCAAGAAGATGAGGTTGCCATGACAAATGGGGATGGCCTCATGGTACCAGTCTTCCAGGCTATTGAACACATGCAGGGGCAGCCAAAGCACAGCAAAGGCAGCCACCATTGCCACAAAGATCCCGTTGATCCGCTTCATCTGCCAAGCCCGCGAGCTATAGGTGCCCTTGCGGAATACCCGCCCCTGATTCCTCAGGCGCTGGTAGATGCGGACATAGCAGACCAGGATGAAGGCCAGTGGAATGCAATACTGGAAGAGCAGAAGAAAGGTGGTGTAGATGATGCGGTGATGGTCCAGTGGCCAAGACTCAGTACAGACCACTTTATCTGCCAGAAACTCCACAGCCTTGGAGTGGTTCTTATGAAAGACATTCTCTAGGATGCTGTTGGCCAGGAATGGCAGGGAGAGGAAGCCAGCAATAAGCCAGATGACCACAATCCCCAGGTAGGCTTGGGTGACACTGGGTTTCCAGCCTGTTGGATTGATGATGAGCTGATGCCTCTCCAGAGCCACAAGGACAAGTGAGAGGATGGAGACTGTCACTGACATACACTGGATAAAGGTAGATATCTTACAAAGGACCTCGCCAAAGACCCAGTAGTCCATGATGGTGTAGACAGCCGTGAGTGGCTGGCAGATGAGGCACATGAGAAAGTCAGAGAAGGCCAGGTTGGCAATAAGCAGGTTGGTCACATTGGCCTTCTCCTTCTGCCGAATAGTCACATATATCAGGGAGAGGTTTCCCAGGACCCCCACGATGGTCTCGATGCTGTAGGAGGTGACAATAAAGACCATGGGGTCTACAGAATCCTGGCAGTGGTCAGAGAAGTTGTATGGAGTGTACAGAGAAGCTGACTTGCTCCTGTTTTGACCCTGTGGGGATCCTAGGAACAGCAAGGCCAAGAAGTGAGAGGTGTTCATGGTGGACAGGAGAAGATTTCAGGAGATTCAAGGATGATGCCTGCAAAGCAAAGACAAATGGCACTTAGGGATAGCACCTCCTGTGTGGAATTCAGGGGAGAGTGGGGGCCAGGTAGAAAGGTTCATCGCTGCTTCCTTCCCAAGGCTGAGACCTAGAGAACTGAGACTCAGAGACATAAAGCAACTTGCCCATAGTTAATTAGCCCACAGAGCTAATAAGTAATGGGGCCCAGATACAAACCCAGGTCTGTCTGACATCAGAACCTGTTCCACAGATTCCCTCTGACCTCAGGGTTCGAGGCTGTTTTGATGATAAAGAAATTGAAATTTCGTATGCAGAGTTCAGGGACAGAATTATTTAGGGAGCATGGGTAGAAATCCCTGTATCACATTGTATGCAAATAGAAATAGCAACACATTCTTCCATGTGCTCAGGTCCTTCCATGTCATCCTATGCCCTTTTTAAAAAAATATTTATTTACTTGGCTGTGCTGGGTTATAGTTGCAGCACAAGGGATCTCTGATATTCGCTGTGGCATGTGAACTCTTAACTGAGGCATGTGGGATCTAGTTCACTGACCAGGGATCAAATTCAGGCCTCCTGTATTGAGAGCATGGAGTCTTAGCCATCTGACCACCAGGGACGTCCGCACATTCCCTTTAGGACAGAACCAGAACCTCAGGGCTTGACATGCAGTGTACCTTCCTGGTCTCAGCCCCTACCTACTCTGCCAGCCTTGTTTCTCAGTGACATATGGCAGCGTTGAAGACCGCCAGCTATGCCGAAGACTAGGTCATCAGTATACCAGCTCTCTCCTCCTGACCCAGTACATACACATCAGGCCGAGGTCAAGGGATGCCTACTAACTTCCCTATGGGTCCCCTCCATGCCTATGCTTAAGTCACAGCTTGTAGCTCCCAGAAACTGGCCTGGTCCACACCTCCATGTCCCAGCACAGCCTGGTCCTTTTTGTCTGGTGCCTCAACACAAAGGACTCTCTGCCAAGATCTTATTGGAATATAGACCCCAGAACCCCCAGGTGGTAATGCCAACAACAGATATTTTGATGTGGTGTGCAATCATATCACCACACACCATCAGAGCTCCCTTGCTCACGAATTCTCTAGTCATCACTAATCCCACAAGCAGTTCCCAACCTTAAGGAGACATCAGAATCACTCCAGGAGCAGATCAAAAGCACAGATTCCAGAGTCCCTCACCAGGAAATGCAGTTAAGTGAGTCCAGGATGGGGCCAAGGAATGTATACTTTAACAAGAGAGCCATATGATTCTGATCACATGGTCCTTAGACCCCATTTCAATAAGTACTGTTTAGAAAGGGCCCTATTTCAGATATTCTTTAGGGCCTTTATACTGGTTGTGTCTATCTATGAACTGTTAACATATAAATGTTCTTCATGATCAAGTGCTAAGTTAGAGGCAGTTTTTATAGGGTATAACCAAAATTAACCAAAGGTCAGTAAAATCTATAATATTTGTCAGCCATCATAAATGTCACTTACTATAAATTTAATTTGACTTAGAAAGATGAATCACATTTGGCCATGGAAAGATTGTCATGAATTCAAAGACAGTTTAAAGTTTAGCTATTTCAGTTACCCAATCCCAGAGACAAGAAAATTTTTCTTCTGTTTTTTTTAAACTTCTTCTTTTTTTTAATATTTATTCATTTGGCTGTGCTAGGTCTTAGCTGTGGCATGTGGGATCTTTGATCTTCATGGCAGCATGTGGGATCTAGAATGGGAGCACTGAAGGCAGCATTGAAGATCCACTTGGCTTGCAGCCCCCTTCTCGAAGAATCTCTAAAGAGTAACATAAGGGATGGTCACCAGTGAGCCAGGAAACTCCACACCAGTCCCTGCTGACTAGACCACATGGATGCCTGGGCTTAAATCAACCCTTCTCAACAACTGGGACTGGGGCAGAGGAGCGAAGTGATAGGGCTTGGAAAGCAACAACATGGGAAGGAGATCTGTGGGGAACCAAGAAAGGAGCAGAATTACCAACTGGCCCTTGCATCTTTCTCCAGAGCTACAGATACTGGAAGGAAACTACTCCATAAGAGCCCATGCTAGAAAGGCCCTCTGTGCACAGGAACCAAGGATTTCCAGAAGTGTACTCCAGGGGCGAGGCAGCAATCATTCAAACCCTGAGCCCCAGGTCAGCATGAAAGTTAGATTCCTTCTGTAGAAAGTGCACAGAGGCAGTAGGGAGAAGGCAGTGGCAGTGGGCATACAGAGGTGATTCTGTTTGGTCCTGTAGACACCTGGAAGACCCAAGTAGCCTCAAGGGCTGTACCTGGATGGGACCTGGGGAGAGAATGGGACAACTGAACTGCCATACCCAGAAGAGCAGAAAGGGGAATTTGGAAAGACAAACAGGAGAGAGTAGGCAGGAACCAATCTTGGAAAGAGCCCAAAGAGCAGTGGGTGGTCTTGCCTTACTGTGGAGGGCACATGATTTGCTGGGAGATGGGGCAGAAGGGACAGACATTAACCTTCACTCAGCTTTGGGCTCAAGACATCTCCCTGAGCATTAATCCATACCCTAGCCATGGGAGAAAGGCTTTATTAGGCTGAACCATATGAAATTGCCAGTATCCAACTATTTTCAATCTGCAAAGACAGCAAAACCACATGGCTGGATTTTATATCAGCTCCATTTCAAAGAGGAGGACACGGAGGCCCAGTTAGATGAAAGGAAGCTGCCCAAGGTCCCCAGAGTCTGTAAGTGGCAAAGCTGAACTAGAACCTTGGTTAGTCTGATTCTGAAGGCCTTGGCACCAGGCCATGCCAGACAGATTTTTTAAAAAGGAGGAAGGGAAGTCTGTGCTAAAGTAGGAGGTGAGCTGATGTGGGGCAGGAGAAGTGGCAGAGGCCGGGTTGGAGACAGACATCCATGGTCCCCAACAAAGCTTGACCAGATGAGCACCTGGCAGTGATGAGATATGGCTCAGCAAAGTGACAAGATGCCCCAGCTGGGGTGACATTGCCCAGGGTCCCCTGGCCTTGGGCCCCAGCACATTGGCTCAGACCCCTCCACCTCCCCAGCAAGGGGATAACCTCCAAGGTTATCCCAGCCTCTCCAGCCCCTCATCCTTCCCAAACAGACCCAGGCTTGGTGTTCCTAATGGAATGACACTCTTAGATAGAGCTATCTCCGTTGCAATGCAGTTTGGAACCTCCGAGGCCCCTCCTGGGGGCAGAACACAAGAGCACAAGCTTCCAGGGGAGAGATGTGGGCTTGAAGGGCTATCACCAAGCGAGTGTCTATCCCCTGCAACCTCCAGCAATGCAGTTTTTCACCTGGATCACCTTGAAGTAATCACAGACACTCACCAGGGCTGCTGAGTTGCGGCCACACTGACCACTTCAAGACTTTCTGGGAGGCTTAGAATTCCCCCAAAGGACCGCACACCAAGACTGTCTCTCACTTCCCACTGCATTCCTCAGAGATGCCCAGTGAGGACCAGGAGACCTCAGGTCTTCCAGGTGCACCCCAGAGGGTGGTGATTCTGGGAAGGGTAGGGTGGACTATAATGCAAAATCAGTGAAATAGGGTCTCCAGGTTGAGTTCCCAAGCAGCTCTCATGACAAGGTGGGACCACCTGCAGCCCCCAGGGGAGCCCTCCACTGCAGCCTGCCTTCCCAGCTGTCAAATGAAAACGAATGGAAAAGACAAATAATCTTCTCATGAGGTAAGAATGGAGACAAGGATGTCTGCTTTGTTTCCTGAGATTTCAGCAAACAGCTCCTGTCTCCTAAGCCCCGGGGCGCCCACACTTGCCACGCACCCCTTACCTCCTTTGCCTGCAACGCACAGATGAGAACACCGAGGCAACGGGAGCCCAAATCCGCTCCAGTGGCAGGCTTCCCCGCACCAGCCCCGACTGTGGCGCTCTGAGCCTCGGGCTCCGTAAAGCCCACCGGGCGTCTGGCGGAAGCAGCGCGCGGCTTCCCCGGGGCCCCTCCGACCCAGGAAACCACGGAGCGCATCCAAGGGCCCGTGCCGGCCTCACCAGCTCCGGCGACCCGGCACTCTCTCTGCCTGCGGAGTGGAGCCGCCCTGCCAGTTCACCCGCACTCCCGGCACCCTCCCACGCCGCCGCCGCCGCCGCCAGCCCCCGCCCAGTCTGCCGCCCCGCGCCGCCCACCAGGACGCTCCCGCCGCCGCGGGGGACCCGGGCGCCTGTCCGGGAGCCGCGCCCGCGAGCCTTCCCATCTGCCCGCAGCTGCAGCCAGACAAACCTGCCTTCTCCACGCACACCCCCGCCCAGGCCAGCTGGCTGGAACTCGTGTTCTCTGTGAGCTTCAGTGCCCTCGTCCATGAAATGGGCATAAGACCTGCCTTTCATAAACTCATTCACAGATATGAATTCCGGGCCTCCTGTGAGCCTGACTCTCCCGACAGACACAGAGCGGAACAAAACAGATGTCCTGTCCTCGTGTCATAGTGGAGTTGCCAGCCCAGGGGGCGGAGGGCAGACCAGGGACAAGTAAATCAGTTATTGCAGAGAACGAGATGCTGTGGGGAAATGGGTCAGCTATAGACAGATGGTCCAGGGAGAGGGCACAGTAAAGGCAAAGGCCCTGAGGCTGGAGGTATCTGGTCACTGGAGATCACGGGAGGGCAGTGCGGCTGCAGAACGTCGGGGCTTTCAGAGGGGCATTCGGGAAGAGTCAGAGAGGCCCTCATAGGTTCTGGAAAGGCCTCCAAGGTTGCTGCAACAAGAGTCAAGTAAGAAAGCTCTTCTCCATTGGAGTCCAGGTGACTTAGGACTTGCCTGAAATGGCGCAGTGTGTATGACAAAGGCTGCTCCAGTTCTGAATATACTGCCTTATCATTTCCTCCAGGAGACCACATGGTAAAATCAAGTATGTATCAAGAGGACCTCTTGAGAGTAGTCTCTGCTTCTGGGACACTTCCTAAGTGTCAGACATGCACAACTCTTCTATAAAAACTTCCATGGCTCCCACTCACAGAAATCAAGTAAAGCAGTGGTTACCATGGGCCAGGGGGTTGGGGAAATGGGGAGGAGATACTGATCAAAGGGTCCAAACTTCCAGTTATAAGATTACCAAGTTCTGGGGATCTAATGTACAGAAGGGTGAGTATAGTTTATAATACCGTATTATATGCTCAAAAGTTGCTAACAGAGTAGATCTTAGATTCTCTTACCATAAAAAAAGAAATGGTAATTATGTGAAAGGGTGGAGATGTTATCTAATGCTTTGGTGGTAATCATTTTGCCATATGTAAGTTTTTCAAATCAACTCATTGTAAACCTTGTGTGTACATAATCTTATATGTCAATTATATCTCAATAAAGCTGGGGGAAAAACAAACTTTCATGGCTCCCCATGACCCACAGGACATGGCCCAGATCTCCCAGCCACTCCCCCCACACACCAAGTAACCCCAGAGGTACCATCCATAGTGCTGACTATGGAAATGGTTCCAGAGTGGTGGGCAGCGGCCCCTTCTAGAATGACAGCTGTCATTTACAGTGCAAGTGGGCACTGCAGACAATACCCCATGGGATCCTCAGAAAAGCTCTGAAGGTGAGCATTTTCATTTCTGTTTTACTGATGAAACCAAGTGAAACTCAAAGATTGAGCAACTTCCCCAAAGTCCCTCAGCTAAGAAACTGAATGATCAGATCCTATCCATCAAACACCCAAGCTTCTGCTGGGTGTTTGCACCTGCCGTGTCTCGTTTCCGGATCACTCTCCTCCCTGCCTTGACTCCCTGCTGCCCCTCCTTCTCAGCCGAGTTCCAGGGTCCCCTGAGCCACGATGTGTTCCTGCTGCAGAAGCAGGTGGCACAGCCTGTGTCTATGTTCGTACAACATACTCCCCGTGTCCAGGGCACGGCTCCTGCCTCTGCCCTCGGACCCATTATGGGTCCACACACAGTGACAGCATGTGACAAAGGAAGGAAAGAATGCATTTCACAGAACTTAGCTATAATGACTCATTTGAAAAGACCCTGATGCTGGGACAGAGTGAAGGCAGAAGGAGAAGAGGGAGACAGAGAATGAGATGGTTGGATGGCATCACTGATGCAAAGGACACGAACTCGGGCAAACTCTGGGAGTTGGTGAGGGACAGGTTAAGCCTGGCATGCTGCAGTCCTCGGGGTCATGTAGAGATGGACACAACTTGGCAACTGAACAACAACAACAATCGTAATGATGGCTTCCAGGAGTCCAAAGTGAAGAATTTCCTGTTCAGAAACCACTCACCTATAGACAGCTGTTCTCTGTGTGGGCAAGAACTCAGACACTGACATCTCCTCCTCATGGGGCAGCTGTGAGGGGCCAAGGATTGAGGTCTTACTGGTGAGCCTTTTGAACAACTTCCCAGAGCTCCTAGGCCTGAGCTCAAGCCCGTGTAGAACAGAGAGCAGCAGATGGGGCAGTGAAAATAGTGACTAGATCCTGTGCCAGACAAAAGTACATTTTCTTACGCCCACCTCATAAAGTATGATCATCCCATATCACAGGTGAGAAAGCTGAGGTTGGGAGAACTGGTGTGTCTTCTCCCCTTCATCCAAATTGTAGATAGTGGGGTTGGGGTTTGAATCCAAAGGCCAAGCTCTATCTCCAGCATCCAAGTACCCCTGAGAGGGGATAAGTAGACATTCCTAGTTAGACCAGCACAGCAGGAGCTGGCTGTCAGAGCTTTTGCTCAGCCAGGGAAGGAAACAGCAACCCCTGGTGGCAGCTGAGCCCTGCAAAGAGCAGAGCCAGAATATATAAAGCTCCCTGAGAAAACGGAGCCCACGAGTAAGAAGCCTGGAGCTGTACTTCCCTACTCGCTGCTATATGAGGCCAGGACCCCAGTCTGGGAGATCCTGCCAATGGGCAGACTGCATTCCACAGTATCTGGGGGACAAGCATCTTGGAACAAGTGATGAAACTTGAATGGAACCTGGGGTTGAGAGGGTAGTTATGTCTCAATGCTAACTGCCTGAATCATGATGGTTGTGTTTTGGGAGAGTAGGAGAAGGTCCTTTTCTGTAAGCAATAGACAGTAAAAATAACATTTGGAAAAGAGGGGCTTCTTGTTGGCAGTTTACTCAAATGGTTCAGAAAAAAATGCTGTTTATCCTCACTTGTAATTTTTCATAAGCCTAAAATTGTTTGCATTTATATATGTGTAAACCTTTGATATTTTTAAATATATATATATATATATATTTTAAATATCAAGTTTTTTTTAACTTCATGGAATAAAACAGAAATAGAAGCTGAAAACAGTAACATCTAGAAATAGAATTGCTGGGCCAGAAAGAATGTTAACATCAGTTATGTGAGTAATAGGAATATAGACCATTTGTTTCCTTCTCTCTAATAAAGAAGAATTCATAATTATAATTTTATTTTTAAAAAGAGTAAAAGAAATGAAATGATATCTCATAGCACAGAGTATAAAGCTTGATAACAATCATTCTAGCCTCAGTTTCATCATCTGTAAAATGGAGCCAAGACTGGTTTAGACTCATGACAAGGTGATAAGGATACAAAGGATTAAAGAATAATCCTTTGAAAACTTCAAAGTCTTTCAAAGATAACTGGAAGGGAGACATGAGGAAGAAACTCCAGGACTTCAGGATCAGGCAGCAGATACGGGTCTGTTCTTCCAGGAAACCCTCTAAGTGGTAGGCAGATCTGCTGAAGAGGACGCACCTGCTGTGGGAGGTGGCTCCCAGATCCTGGGAGATCACATGCTCTTTGTTTGCCTTTTTTCCCTGTTGAAGCCATAAAGAGGCTGGGCTGTTAAATAACTTACTCTGATCACAGGGGAAAAAGATAAGGGATTTCAGCTAAGTGATCTACCCTTTTCCTGCCTGACTCCAGACAGGTGGCCTGGCCCTGGCTCCCTGCCCTGCCTTTCTCCAGGGTAAAGTCGGACTTCCCATTGCCTTTTCCCAGCCCCTCTTTACTGATGTTTCCCTCCTTCTCTATTCCATTTTAAGGAAGGACAGTGCATAACAGTCTGCCAGCCAGAGAGAAAAGAGGAAAAGGGCACAGTTGCCACCTGTCTAAAGTTCCATCGCACGGTCCAATCCAAGATCTTGAAGCTGATCATCTCAAAATTGCATTTTTCCTACTAAATAGAGAGTAAGAGAAAGACAAGGACAGAGAGATATCATTTCCCAAAAAGCCCACAGTCCCCAGGTTAGTCCTCTGCTAACTCAGTGGATTCATTAGCCCACAGTGCATCAACTATCCCTTTGTGGGGGACAGGGAGAAATATCAAAGTAGTTCAGCCTGTGTGTTTTGTATTCACATCCCTAACTCCTATTCCTGCCTTCTTGGACCTTCCGGGATCCATTCAAAATGTCCACTGTCATTTAACAAAATTTTAAATCATCTGTATGTGCTACGTGTTACACTGGACAGAGTTCAGTTCCTCAAGACATGTTCTAAAAGAAGTTTTGATCCAGGAATTCCAAAATGGATGCAGATAAAACATTGAGTAAAATACCCACCAGATTACAACATGCTTTGGATGAAGAATTTACTCAAGGCTATTCCCCATCTCAGATTGTGTTTAGCTGTGCTGTCCTTCCAAGCTTACCTAATATAATAATATATGGGTCAGCTATCATGGAGTAAAAAACAACTACAAAATCTCAGTGACATACAAACACTTTCAGGTCAAGTGGTGGTTAGCTGAGCTAGGCTGGGCTCAAGGGGGCAGCTCTTCTTTGAGCTGTGGGTTCAACTGGATTAGCTCCTCACCAAGATTTAGATTCCTCCACCTGTGCTCATTGTGGGCCCAGGCTGAAAGGAAAGTTCAAAAGAAGTTCTACTCATGGAGATGGCATAAGTACAAGAGGACAAATGCAGTTATAGAGGCTAATTTCCAGTCCTACTTGAGTCACAACTGCAAACATCTATTGGCCAAAGCAAGCTACATGGCTGAGCACAAAGTCAAGGGGCAAGGAATCATCCTGCAGCCACCCTAAGGCAAAATCAAGTCACAAGGCCACACCAGACATAATAGATCCAGAAACTAACCCAAACTGGGGCTGGGGGGAGTAAAATAAGTTTGAACAACAGACAATCATGGATAATAATATAGTTTTAGAAATACTAAAGGAACCAACATTTGCTTCTATCACATTAATTTTTTTTTCATTTATTTTTTTTAGTTGGAGGCTAATTACTTTACAATATTGTAGTGGTTTTTGTCATACATTGACATGAATCAGCCATGGAGTTACATGTATTCCCCATCCCAATCCCCCCTCCCACCTCCCTCTCCACCCGATTCCTCTGGGTCTTCCTAGTTCACCAGGCCCGAGCACTTTTCTCATGCATCCAGCCTGGGCTGGTGGTCTGTTTCACCCTAGATAATATACATGTTTCGATGCTGTTCTCTCGAAACATCCCACCCTCACCTTCTCCCACAGAGTCCAAAAGTCTGTTCTGTACATCTGTGTCTCTTTTTCTGTTTTGCATATAGGGTTATCATTACCATCTTTCTAAATTCCATATATATGTGTTAGTATACTGTAATGGTCTTTATCTTTCTGGCTTACTTCACTCTGTATAATGGGCTCCAGTTTCATCCATCTCATCAGAAGTGATTCAAATGAATTCTTTTTAATGGTTGAGTAATATTCCATGGTATATATGTACCACAGCTTCCTTATCCATTCATCTGCTGGTGGGCATCTAGGTTGTTTCCATGTCCTGGCTATTATAAACAGTGCTGCGATGAACATTGGGGTGTACGTGTTTCTTTCAGATCTGGTTTCCTCGGTGTGTATGCCCAGAAGTGGGATTGCTGGGTCATATGGCAGTTCTAATTCCAGTTTTTTAAGAAATCTCCACACTGTTCTCCATAGCGGCCGTATTAGTTTGCATTCCCATCAACAGTGTAAGAGGGTTCCCTTTTCTCCACACCCTCTCCAGCATTTATTGCTTGTAGACTTTTGGATAGCAGCCATCCTGACTGGCGTATCACATTAAATTTAACTACAAAATTTCCCACCAATCTTCATCATCCAGTCCAATTCTTTTTTCCTACAAATAATTTTAGATCTTCCACCTGTGAAAGAAACCCATTGCATTTTCTAATAAAAAAATTAAGCTCAAAATTTCCCTTCCACTAGAACAGTTTTACTCCGTTATCTGGGTAGATTCTCTATTTTCTGGATGTCTTTATTCAGTTGTAATTTTTTCCACAAATGTGTGATGGGTCTTGTTTGAAGGCCCATCTTGGATTCTTGTTGAGCTGGCATGGAGCATCTTTTTTGTTACCTGGAGGTAGTGAAGGCTGGGAAGGTGAAGAGAGGAATATGGTCTGGATGTGCCAGTCATTAGCCTTATATATACATGCGTGCTCAATGGTGAACAACTCTGCAACCCCAGGGTCTGTAGCCCATCAGATTCCTTTGTATCTACGGAATTTTCCAGGCAAGATTACTGGAATGGGTTGCCATTTCCTACTCCAGGGTATCTTCCTGACTCAGGAATTGAAACCAAGTCTCTTGCATCTCCTGCATTGGCAGGTGGATTCTTTACCAACTGTGCCACCTAGTATATACAGGCTGATGAGCTAACAGGTATAAAAGCCCAGGCAAGTGAAAGTGGTTACACTGGGGGCAAAAGTCTCGATTTGTGGCAGGAGAAGTTGCCCAGGGAAGGCTGGGGTAGAGCAGCTCAGGCAGTGGTCAGAAGGACCAAAAGGTCAGACCTGGGACACCTCAGGACACTGTCCCTGGCCCCTGGGTGTCTCTCTCTGACTTCCCATCTGTTACAAGCTGAACTGTGTTCCCCTCAAACTCATCTGTGAAGTTTTAACTCTCAGGACCTCAGAATGTGACTGTATTTGAAGATGGGGTCTTTATGGAGAAAGTCAAGTTAAAGTGAGGTCATTAGGATGGACCTTAATCCAGTGTGACTCCTTACAAAAAGGGAAAATTTGGACACAGAGACAGACATGCACAGAGGAAAGATGACATGAGGACACAGGAAAGGGACAGCCATCTGTTAAAAACCATGGAGAGAAGCCTGGAACAGATCCTTCCCAGAATGAATCAACCCAGCCAATACCTTAAACTTGGACCTTGGCCTGCAAAACCATAAGACAACGCATGTCTGTTTAAGTCTGGGGTGCTTGGTTACAGCAGCCCCAGGAAATGAATACATCATCTCTCAGTGTCTGTTTTCTGTTCCTCTCTCCTTGTTCCTCTTTTGTAGGGTGACCAACATTTCTGCTTTTCCTGAGCCTGCAGGATTCTCCAGGATATGGATATTGAGGCTAAAAGCAGGAAAACTGGGACAACTTGGTCATCCTACATCTTTCATCTTCTTCAGTCTGTCTGCATCTCCATCCTTCTCTCCCCATCTATCTCAGGTCCTCCTTATTCTGCTAATGCCTTCCATAAATGTCTGTTCTACACACAGCATCTGGTCTGTGTGTGGCCTGAGATGATCAGTCAGGGAGGTGGTATCTGGAAGGTGCAAGCTGACCAAAGGCAGAGGTCTTCATGTCTTGGTGACCACAGAGCTTCTCAGAGCACGTAGCACCCAAGGGGTGGCTCCCACTATAATGCCTGGGCAGCCAGGCCAGGCAGCAGGTGAGGGCCCAGCATAGTTACTTTCTTAAAACTTTCTGCCAGTATCCCAGCTCTGCAGGTTGCAACCCACTTGTTCAGTCGCTAAGTCGTGTTTGACTCTTTGTGACCCCACGGATTGCAGCACGCCAGGCTTCCTTGTCCTTTACTGTCTCTCGGAGTTTACTCAAACTCATGTCCATTGAGTTGGTGATACCATTCAACCACCTTATCCTCTTTCACCCTCTTCTCCTCCTGCCTTGGGTGTGAAATCCATCATGGGTAAGCATGGGCTTTTTTCTTTCTTTCCTTTTTGTTTGTTTGTTTTGACTGTGCTGCATTGTTTACAAGATATTAGTTCCCTGCCCAGGGATTGAACCTGTGCCCTCAGCAGTGAAAGAGCAGAGTCCTAACCACCAGGGACCACCAGGGAATTTCCAGGGATCAACATGTTTTTAATGAAAATAAATATAATAGAAGGAAATATATTTGTGTATGTGTGTGTATATATATGTGTGTGTGTGCACATGCGCACATGCGCACACCCTGAGCCACACAGTTATTTATATTTCTTACTGTTGATTATAGTCACAAAGTCTGAGGAACCTAGCCCAACTCACAATGCCAGCTTGAATGCAGAGAAGCTTGGAAAGCCAAGGGTTGGGGATGGTTATATACAATCATTCATAAAAAGAGGATTTGGGCAAAGGAGTCAGAAGCAAACCCTTGGGCATCAGGACAAGCAGGGTCTGCTTTGCTGGGCAAGCTATTCTAAAATAAACAGTATGGCAATCATTCTGATGGTTGCTGCCTTGTTCCTATTGTTGGCACTATTCTGATGCTTGGTACTTATATCTGACTTGTGCCCTTTTAATGGGTCTTTTTAATAACCTGCTCACCAGGCTAAAACTATGGAAAACATGGCCCTTTAAAAGTTAATTCTGAATATAAAACGTTTGGGGAATACAACATCCTTGAACCTGTGTCAATGTATGTAGTATTGAGGGAATACAACAGTCAGAAATGATGTTTTTGGTAGATAACTATTACATGTTTTCAATACCAAAAGATATTCGACCAAAGAGAGTGATTTCATAAATAAATGATCAAAAGTAAAATTAATAAATTTTTAAAGATAAAATGTAAAGAAATAAATAAAGTGACTCTTATGCTGGAAGCAGAGCCTTTTAAAAACTCCAACGGACCTCCTTCAGTTTTGTGTGTTCCTCCACTTGGCAGCTGGCTCCGTTCCCGGATGTGGGATAATGCTCTTGGATTACTGTAGCTGTCTAATTCATCTACTGTTACAGAAACAATCAGACGCAGTGTACAGTATACACCTCCAGCGCCCATTTGTCAGAATTCGACTTGTAACAAGTCTGGAACAGGAAAGCCACACTTGCTTTCTTAAGTGCTTCATAACATGGCAGTGGTTATACCTCACATAATATAGCCTGTTATACCGATGTTTAAACGCTGGTGCTTCCCAAACATTTATTTTCTGCTTATTTGTGCAGTGGATATATTTCGGAAGACATCGTGGGATGAAAAAAAAAAAAGCCTCATCATCCATTCATTTATTTATTCACTCATTTAGTAAGCAGTAATTACCAGACTCCTATCATATGCCAAGAGCTCTTGCAGGTATCAAGGATGCAGAAGTGAGCGATATCCTCACCGTTTTGGGTGGCAGCTGAGCATCTATCCAAAAAGTTTCCTGGAATGTATAAGAAAAGACGCATCACTCCTACCCTCTTCCAGTTATCTCTGCTTTACTCCAAAGTGGAGAGGAGGTCCCCAGGGTGGCATGGCCCCAAGAGCCCAAGTAGAGCGCCAACCGGGCGGGATCCCGGAGCTGCGACCCCAGCAGGCCTTCCCCAGGGCCGGCCTGCCCACTCCGAGACCCTCGGCGGGGCCGGCCTGGACCAGGCGGCTCACTTCGCTCCCCGTCCCACCCTCCTCCGAGCCCCCACGACCAAGCGTAGGCGCTCACAACACGCGGGTGGCGTGGCCCGCAGGTTTTACTGGGTGGAAGCTATCGGCTGAGCCGCGTTGCGCAGCTGCCAGCTCTCGTCTCGCTCCCTCCCCTAGTGACAGGAGAGGACGCGCCTCCATCTCCAGGAGTGGAATCCGGGTCCCCAAAGAGCCTGAACTCGAAGCTCGGTGTCTCTTATTTCCGCCTCCGCTGAGTTGCCCCGGAGCCCGAGGGGACTTCACCCACGGGCCGTAGCTGCATTCGGACCGGACCCCGCCAGCCAAACCGGGTCAGCCTTTAGGGCACCCGGGCCAAATAAGTAGGAGCGGACCCAGCCCTGCGTCCTCCGGCTCCCGCGGGAAATCAACTTCTGAATCCCACACCACGGGTTGGCGTTCGGTGGGAGCCGCTCTCGCTGTTTAGAAAGAGCTGGGGGCAGCGTCTTAGTCCAGTGGAGCTTTGGTCAGTCGCCTAGCTCCTGCCCTCCACTTGGCTCGCTGGGGCTGGCGGAGTGGGGAGACAGCCAACCTGTGCCTCCTGTGGAGAATGGGGAGCAGGAGGCACAGAATCCCTGCTGGAGCGGCAATGCCCCACCTCGGGAGGGAGAAGAAGTGGGAGTGGGGCGGAGGTGACGTGGTGTCCCAGGGCAGGGCCCGCTGAAGTGGGACTCAGCCTTCTCACCATCCCTCCACCCATCCTTACAGTAGGTTCCAGTAGTATTTAAGTGCATCTTGGGCTCTCCAAGAACTTTTCCCCTTATGGCAGAAAGCGAAGAAAAGCTGAAGAGCCTCCTGGTGAAAGTGAAACAGGAGAGTGAAAAAGTGGTCTTAAAACTCAACATTCAGAAAACTAAGATCATGGGCATCTGGTCCTGTCAGTTCAGTTCAGTCGCTCAGTCTTGTCTGACTCTTTGACCCCATGAACCGCAGCAGGCCAGGCCTCCCTGTCCATCACCAACTCCCAGAGTTCACCCAGACTCATGTCCATTGAGTTGGTGATGCCATCCAACCATCTCATTCTCTGTCGTCCCCTTCTCTGCCTGCCCTCAATCTTTCCCAGCATCAGGGTCTTTTCAAATGATTCAGCTCTTTGCATCAGATGGCCAAAGTATTGGAGTTTCAGCTTCAGCATCAGTCCTTCCGATGAATATTCAGGACTGATTTCCTTTAGGATGGACTGGTTGGATCTCCTGAAAGTCCAAGGGGCTCTCAACAGTCTTCTCCAACACCACAGTTCAAAAGCATCAATTCTTCGGCACTCAGCTTTCTTTATAGTCCAACTCTCACATCCATACATGACCACTGGAAAAACCATAGCCTTGACTAGACAGACCTTTGTTGACAAAGTAATGCCTCTGCTTTTCAATATGCTGTCTAGGTTGGTCATGACTTTCCTTCCAAGGAGTGTCTTTTAATTTCATGGCTGCAATCACCATCTACAGTGATTTTGGAGCCCCAAAAAATAAAGTCAGCCAGTGTTTCCACTGTTTCCCCATCTATTTGCCATGAAGTGATGGAACTGGATGCCATGATCTTAGTCACTTCATGGCAAATAGATGGGGAAGCAATGGAAACAGTGACAGACTGTTTATTTTTGGGCTCCAAAATCACTGCAGATGGTGACTGCAGCCATGAAATTTAAAGGCACTTGCTCCTTGAAAGAAAAGTTATGACCAATCTAGACAGCATATTAAAAGACAGAGACATTACTTTGCCAACAAACATCCATCTAGTCAAAGCTATGGTTTTTCCAGTGGTCATGTATGGATGTGAGAGTTGGACTATAAAAAAAGCTGAGTGCCGAAGAATTGATGCTTTTGAACTGTGGTGTTGGAGAAGACTGTTGAGAGTCCCTTGGAGTCAGGAGATCCAACCAGTTCATCCTAAAGGAAATCAGTCCTGAGTATTCATCGGAAGGACTGATGCTGAAGCTGAAACTCCAAAACTTTGGCCACCTGATGCGAAGAACTGACTCCTTGGAAAAGACTCTGATGCTGGAAAAGATTGAAGGCAGGAGGAGAAGGGGATGACAGAGGATGAGATGGCGGGATGGCATCACCAACTCAATGGACATGAGTTTGAGTAAACTCTGGGAGGGAGTTGATGATGGACAGGGAGGCCTGGCATGCTGCAATTCATGGGGTCACAGAGTCAGACGCAACAGAGCTACTGAACTGAACTGACTGGATTCTCCAGCTTAAAACTGATCCATGGGTTCAAAATTCATTCATAGGCTCATTGGTCCCTTGAAGAGCTCAAAGATAAGATTTGTATATTCCCTGAGGAGGAACCGAGACCCTGCCCCAGGATTGCTCCATTGTTTCTTGACCTCCCCTACCCTGTTTGTGAACCTCCCCCTTCCCTGATCAGCAATGTTTAAACCTGGCCTTTGGAACTCCAGGAAGGTCATGTAGGCTGAATGAAGTCTTATTTCCTAGAAACAAGAAACAGGGACACAAGTTTTGGTGTCCGGGGGGGGGCTCACAGAGTCCTGCTTGTTTTCAAGCTGATCCCTAAGATGTACTGTTAGAAAGATTCCATTCCTCCCTCCCCTTGAAGGATGCTGATAGGCTTTAAGGCTCTAATCCCCCTCCTGGCTCCCACCCACCAGATCTTTGGTAGTGTATGGAGGAGGAGGAGATGCAGGAGGTCATTGGGAGTCAGGTGACTGGCTGTGAGGGAGGAATTGCATTCACACCAGTGAGTGACCTCAGGCACTCCAGCCCTCACTTCTCAGAGCTCAGATGCCCTGATTCCTTAAAGGGTATCCCTGGAAGCCAGTGGGTGGATTGTGCCATGTGTTGCCAATAAGAGGATATACCCTCCAGCTGCACTCCTGCTGGAGGGTCAGTTATTCCCAGATGTGTCCTCCAGAGGTCCAAGTCTGGGCCATGAGGCATAGCTTTGCAGAGGCCAGTGACTCTGGGCCAGGGACACTTGAATGAGGTGGTGGGTACTGACCGATGAATCAAACTGTCTTTGGAAGTGATTCTTGCAGATCTTTATGCAGGTACATCAGGCAAACTGGAACTAGGTGCTGTGTGCCCTGTAAGTGAAGCTGAATCTGGCCTCTGTACCCCGATACCAAATTAAATTTTGGAGATGGTGTTTTGGGTGAAGTAGAAAAGATAGCTTTATTGCTTTGCCAGGGAGAGGAGGTCACAACATGCTAATGCCCTCAAAACTGTGTGTCCTGGAGCGGGTAGTGACGAGTTGTAATGGTTAAAAGCAGGTGTGATCAACTGATAGACATTATTCTAATTGGTTGGTAAGTAGGAGATGAGTTTGAGTAAGCTCTGGGAGTTGGTGATGGACAGGGAAGCCTGGCGTGCTGCAGTCCATGGGGTCGCAAAGAGTCAGACGTGACTGAGCAACTGAACTGAACTGAAGTGGAAATCAGCATTATCAACTTGTGGTTCCAACTGGTCTGAGCTCTCTGTGATGTTAATTTCTCCCACCTGGTGGGGCAAGACAGCTCAAAGATATTGTCTTGTGTATCCTTTGAGAGGGAACCACAATACATCCCCAACAAAGGTCCGTCTAGTCAAGGCTATGGTTTTTCCAGTAGTCATGTATGGATATGAGAGTTGGATGGTGAAGAAAGCTGAGCGCAGAAGAACTGATGCTTTTGAAATGTGTTGGAGAAGACCCTTAAGAGTCCCTTGGACTGCAAGATCCAACCAGTCCATCCTAAAGGAGATCAGTCCTGGGTGTTCATTGGAAGGACTGATGTTGAAGCTGAAACTCCAATACTTTGGCCACTTCATGCAAAGAGTTGACTCATTGGAAAAGACCCTAATGCTGGGAAGGATTGGGGACAGGTAGAGAAGGGGGTGACAGAGGATGAGATGGCTGGATGGCATCACCAACTCGATGGAGATGGATTTGAGTAGACTCCGGGAGTTGGTGATGGACAGGGAGGCCTGGCATGCTGTGATACCTGGGGTGGCAAAGAGTCCGACACGATTGAGCAACTGAACTGACACTGTTGTTTCTTCTGTTCTTGCCTTAGCTCTGTCTCTGCACCCCCCTCCCTTCTCCAATTAGCAACTGTTTGAACTTGGAACTCAGGGAGGGTCTTAAAGGTTGAATGAAGCCTATTTTCTGTAACCAAAAAATGGAGGCCCCAGAAAGGCTTTTTTGCCCAGGAATCCATAGGGTCCTGCTCAGTATCATAAAGCCCCAAGAGATATTTTGTAAATAGAAATGGAACAAGTGTAAACAGGAAAGACCCAGAAGGTCAAGGCTAAGACATTCTCCATCCCTTTCTTCCCCCTTTTTCTTCCGCCTTTCCTCCTTCCTTCTACCCCTTTGTCCATCTTTCCAGCCTTTCTTCCATTCTTCTCTCCCCCTTCCTTCCCTTGCTCCCTCCATCCTTTCCTCTTTTTCTTTCCCTTGCTTTCTTTCTTCCCTTTATCATTTCTTCTCATTTTTTTCTTCCTTTCCTTCCTTCCATTGAACAGATGTGTTGTGGTGTCTGCCGGGTGCTGTTCGTACTCAGTTTGTGTAGAACTTTGATGCCCTTTCTGTCACGACAGGTCCACGTTCATGCTACCAGCAAATATTTTTGTACTGTGTTACCTACCCCGGCTCCTTTCTTCCTTTATCAATTAGCATATATCCACCAGTTGCGTTAGAGGAAAAAAGCTAATATGATTACGGACTTCACTTTCAAGAAGGAAGGTTAAAATCAAATTTAGAGATCGAGGTATAGTATGTGAAAAGCTGAATAATAGTGAAACTGAAGAGGAAAAGTTAAAATTTTACATAACCTCCTGTTCATTCTGCCTCTGTAGCTCAGCTTGCTCCTTGCAAAGTCTGGATCACATAGGTCACATAGTCTCAGAAAGTGGGGATTTACGATACTAGGAACTGAATCTTATCTCACTCACCCTTGTCCTGCTCTTTGCAATTGCCCAGCCCCTGCAAACCTGCTTAATCATGCCTGTCCGTGTAAAGGTCAGGCATCCCCCTCCCCATCTTGACTGCTCTTCCTGAGCCATGAAACCCGTTAGTTTAAACCAGCCTATTAGCAGCTAGTGTTGCCCACTGTAGTCTGCCTATAAAAACTCTGTAACCCCTTTGTTCGGGGCTCAGAGCTTGGAGCGTTAACTCCTCTGGGCCCTCTGGCATAATAAACCTGAGTTCTCCAACTCTCCGAGTGTGGCGCTTGGTTTCTCGATTACTGGTTTCTGCAACAGAATAATTCCATGATGTCACAAAACAAGGACGTGAGATGCCAGAAGACAGCAAGAG